AATCTTCTTTCTCCTGAAAATAACCCACAAGATTATGTCCTTGCCCTCCTTTCACCCTCGTGATGCTGACTGAGCTACCTGCAGAGTCTCGATGAGAGCCACCCTTTCTCTTTCCAATTCACCCCATGCAAAGCCTGCATGTAAAGCCTGCTTTGGTGGACAGGCACCATTGCTGAGCTCAGAGGGACTCCCGGTACCTCTGGGTTTCAGGCCATCACATGATGCTCCCTTTCAGGCTGTCTAGACTGTGAGTGGGCAATGCTGATGTCTGAATTTTCAGCCCACCAAAGAAATGCCTGGTGAATTGCTCAATATGCAGGATGAAAAAGATGCCAAGTTCCTGTGTTCATTCCTTCCGGCAGAGCAAGGAGAGGGGAAAAGCAAGCTGCTCTTGGGCAAGAGCCCTTTTCACTTTTCTCCAGACTCCTCTCTTGTCCCCTTTGCTGCTCAGCTGGCATGGAGAAGCTCGTGCGCCTCATCTTCTTGGTCTTCTTGTCAGGTAAGAAAGCGTACATGGCTTTGGGTTTCTGTTAACAGATAGGGTAAAGGTGCGAAACTTAGTCTCTACCTGCACCTCCTATGAGATTACTGATAAAGCTATGGGAGGTCTTGAAGCCAGGTCTTGAAACAGTAGCTTTTTCCAGATGCAAAGGCATCTTCATTGTAGCTTGTGGTTCTTTGGAAGACCAGTACAAACACTTACCATGGATAAAGAGTCTTGCTGCCTGTCTGTAACACTGCAAGGTCCAACGCAATGCAAGCAGAGGGAACCTGGAGCACTGCAGGGTCTTCTGCACTCTCCTTGTCCTCCCTAATTACATTGCAGGGGTGGCAGACTCCTTCCTCAGAGTTTGCTCTTTTCCCTTAATTTAACAAAGGGCCAGCAGTGATCCAAGTGCGCAGCTTTTCTCACAGGGATCCTTTTGAGTCAGAACAGGAAACCCTGTTGACAGAACTCTTGTGTACCTTCTCAGAGCGAAATGCGAAATTGCAAAATCCTCTTTGTTTGCATTTGTAAGGCTTCGGGTAGCAGTAGCTAGGGTTCAAGAGGAGGAAAGTAACACTCAGTGAAGGGGACATCTCTGAAATTTTGGGATATTTTCAGCTTGGAAAGTAACATTCATCTGAAACGAGAAGGCACAGGACCCCGCTGGTACTCCCAGCCGGCAGCCTTCTCTCTCCAGCTGCACTTTGGAGATCTCAGATACTTGCAGCAGTGCACAGAAAAGCCACAGGTTCAGGCTTTGGGAGCGCAGAAACCTATCTCAAAAATCTGAATGAGTTTGGAAAAAACTCCACTATACTTTTTTTCAGTAGCACACAACAAGGGAGGAGGAACACAAATAGCAAGTGATCCGTCAGCAGAATTGCTGGAAAAGATAATGACACAAAGTTTTCCACGGAGGCATCAGCAAATTTTTAAATGCCATGATTCTGATCAAGAGGTTTTTTGCAATGCTGTTTCTATTTAAAACAAAACCAAAAAACCAAAACCCTGGGGCCGTTTCAGGAACTGAAGGGGCACAACTGGAGGTGAGAAGGGGTCCACAAGAGAAATAGGAGGGGGGGTTAAATTGTTTAGAGGGATTGCACAGGACTGGACTGGACAGGCAGTGAGTTAAGCTTTGACTGGAACAACTGAGTGGAGCAACATCCCAGGATAAAGAGTTGTAGGTGTTGGATACTTGGAGAGCACAGATCCATTTTTATGCCTTCTTCCACTCAAACCTGAAAGATCTTCAGATTTTTTAGTTTACAATTCACTTAGAATGGCTGAAATAATTTTTAAAAGTGTTTTTAAAAGGCTCAGCCAACACAAAGTCCTCAAGAGAGCCTATTGTTTTACTTCTGGTTTATCATTACTTACCGTTTTACAGAAGGCACTAGCCTTTGAATTTTTTTCACTAGAAATACAGAGATTTCCACAAATACCACACTGCACTTCTGTCTGGAAATATTAATAGTTCAAACTGTCCCCTCTGTCTTTGCCTACCATAAAGAGGAATGGAAATTAGAAATAAGGAACTAAAGAAAAAAAAAAAAAAGCCAAGCAGCCAAAGGCCATGACATTGTCAACAGGATTAAAAATTAGTAGGATACTAGAAGATGGGGTGAAAAAAATTGCGAAGACCCTGGACTTAGAAATTAGGAGTGGGATAAGAAATACCCTCCTAAACGGCTAGCTGGGCACTGTTTTGTAGGTGTCACTGATTCTAGCATTTTCCAGGGCTGTGTTGCTTCTCTATGGCTGTGTAAAGAGCCTTAAAATAGGGATAAACCTCATGGGCATTTACTGCAAAGGACCTTTTCCGCAGCAGAAGCTACTCCAGAGCCAAATCTGCATCTATGACCATATGTGGATGGGCTGACCTCAAGGCCAAAACCTGAAACAAGCTGCCTTGCTGCCAGTAAGCAGGTTGGACCTCGCAGAGCAGGGCTGTTACAGCAAGACTAGCCTACTGAGAGTTACACAGAAACAGTCTGTCATCATTGGGTCAAGCCATGTTTTTACGAGCTGCCTTGTAAAAAGAGCTTTTAAAAATCAAGACAGCTTGCCTGCCAACTCAATCTACCTGAATGCCCAGCTTCATGCTCCTCAGCACCAGAGGAAAATGCAGATTTATATTTAATCACACTGACGAACTGCTTCCCCTTACTGGGCAGGAGCCCAGTGATTACAGAAAGTGTGCTGTGCTTGAGCTCCAGGCTGCAATCCAGAGCAGTCACCACAAGGGCCCAAGGACCAAATTTTCCTGAGCTTCAGAAAATCTGCAAATATTAATGAAGCTGACACCTCCTTCTTCCCACACAAGAACAGCTGCCTGGCAAGAGCCAAACGATGCACCAGTCAGAGGGATCACTACAGACACACTTCAACAAAGTGGGAACCACGACTCCGAACCTCAGCACGCTGTGTCTTTCATCGAGGAAGCAGTCAGGTGACAGCCTGACAGTTGACAGCAGCTATCACTGGAGTTGTAAAAGATGAAAATTATGTTTACCATAAACATAGTGGTAAGGGACAGATACGAAAGAGACTGGCTCACCCCTTCCTCCTTCTCTCCTAGCATCCTGTGCTGCAGAGAACGTCACTGTGGTGTACGGAATGGAGGGGGGCACCATTTCTGTCAACTGCACCTATGACCCCTGGCAGCAGCGGTGGAGAGAAAAGAGCTGGTGCAAGCAGGTCGATGAGACCAAGTGCCAACACGTGGTGAGCGCCCGACGCTTCTGGCTGCCATTCCTAAAGAACAGGAACGGCACAACCTCCATCAGGGACAATGTCCATGAAGGGGTCCTGACGGTGACCATGAAGCGACTCAAGAAGGAGGACGCTGGGTTGTACCAGTGCAAAACTGACTACCTGGGGGAAACAAACAGCTTAAGGAAGGTGCAAGTGGAAGTGCTGACAGGTATGTCCTGTGCTGCAGAGAACATCACCGCGGTGTATGGGATGGAGGGGGGCTCCTGAGTTCCTACTTAATTTTCACGTGTGTCTGGAGATGCCAAGGCCTCACTTTAGTAAACATCTCCTTTTGTCTTACTTAAGGAGGCTCTGTGTTTCATTGCTGCTTTTTAGTTCCTGATTTACAGCAACATGCTCTCACTGTTAGAGGACATCTAACACATGGCATCCCCTTGTTGCTGCCCAGATTTATCTTCTAGCATGCAGCCCACTGCCAAATCTCACCTTGGTGCCCAGATTAATCTTCTAGCATGCAGCCCAGTGCCAAATCTCACCTTGGTTATCTACGCCTTCCTGGGGCACTGGTGTTGGAGACACCAAGGAATATCATGCAGAAACATCTGCAGACTAAACTGTTCTGTTTCTATCATCAGCTTTCCTGGAGACTCAAATGCCAGAGGAGCCCAGTGCTGTGCAGAGCATCTCCAGGTAAGCCATAAAACTCCTCATGCTGTGATCTCTAGTCTTCCTAGGACTAAGGCAGATTAGCATTGACAACCCCAGTGGAAGCTCAGAGGAATACCACTACAGGCATATTCTCTACCTCTTCCTAACCTGTGACAATGCCTGGAGCTGCTGAGGGGTTTCTACACAGCAGCTTTATCCTAATCCAGAAAATGCAGTGCTTCAGTGCCAAGCAAAACAACTCCTGCAGATCTTAATTAATCCATACGTGACACAACCTACTGTAGTTGTTCTAACCTCCCAGGCTCTGTTGTGCACAGGCAGGGACTGCCTGTTGCAGGAGATGTTACCATGTCTATGTTGTGTCCTACAAAAGTTTCTTTGAAGGTTGAACCATCCCCTTCATTGTTGTACTTATGGTTCCCCATAGCATCCCTCCTGAAGCTGATTTCACTGTCTTCTACATCATTGCTGGATTCCTGGTTACTAAGTTCATGGTGGCTGTGCTGATCTTTATCATTGGCAACAGCAGGAAGAACAGAGAAACAGAGCAGAAGAACCCAAGGTTGAATGAGCAGCAGGCCCTCCATTTCGCTGGTGACCTGGCACATGATGGAATCAGCCCCTCCTGGGAGAGCACCGCTTAGAGCCAAACCAGAGGGAATCCACAGAGAAATGAACAGCAAGCATTTGCTGGCAAAGCTTTGCCACCTGCCATAAGAAAAGGATTGCCTACTAAACATAGGTATTGAGGAACCTATCGCTCTAGAGAGGGACTGTCACCATGTACCACCTCTTCTCATTGGCGCTGACCAACTTTTTCCAACACAACTGAGCTGAACAGATGCTGCCAGTAACACTTGAACCTAACGGAAGAGGATGGGATCGAGGGCCAGAGGGAAAGGAGGAATATGAAGGTTTTCTGTCAAGAGACCCAGCCCAGACTTATGTGCAGAGATGCTTTCCCAGGCATGGTAAAGGTGAGAGAGCTCTGCTCTGTTTTTCCCCAGCTTATTGCTCGGCCAGAAAAAACTTCGCTGCTCTATACAGCTACTAGCAAATGCTTTATTATAAATAAAACTACAAATAAAGAAGTGAACATAAATACAAGTTCAGGTAACACATCTCAACAACCATGTGTTGAGCAACTCACAAACACATCCACATACTGCTAAAATGGAAAGACATGGTTCTGTCTCAAATCTCCAAGAAACTTCTGATTCACTGAAGATCAGCGTTGAAGAGCTTTTTTCAAGGTGTCCTACATGTCTCTACAAAACACTCAAATGGCTCCTCCAAAAGCATGAAATATAACCAGAACTAGATGGTTTGTATTGAAAACTAATATTATTCATCTAGAAATCAGCTTTTAAACTGAGATTCCACTCTCTAAAGACTGAAACTTTTGAGACACTTACGACAATGCAACACTCTGCATCATCTCCAGTCACAGCCAGTAGCTGCACCACCACCAGGCAGAGAGTCATTGCAGACAGCCATCCCCAGTATTATTCCACCAGGGTCTAAACTGAGAGCCGTCATCTTCATGTCACCTCAGAGTAGTGCCAGGTGAGAGATTCTGTCTTTCCAAGGTGGTGAAGACCAGCTCCCAAAAACTGCCTTGGACACACCTTGCTCAACAGTCACTGTGGAAAGGTGTGAGGAACTGCAGAACATAACAGAAAGGGACATGAAGTCTACGTGCAGCTCTGAACCTGCTTCCTCATTTCTCAAACGCCTTTGCGAACAAAGAACGAACTTTCTCTCTGCATTTCTCCCTCTGTCTTTTTCTCCCTGTGTTTTTTCATCCCTCTGAAGGGGATGTTACTAACATGTGATCATTGTTCATCACGCCCCAAAGTGAAGCTCTCCCAGGAAGACCCCAAACCCAAGGGCATTCACACTGCTTTTCCCTGCACTGCCTGCAAAGCTAAATAAAATCAAACTGACTATGTGACTTCGTGTGGATTCATGATAAAGAGCCGCAGTACACCAGACCACAACACATCACCCAAAGAAGAGGTAACACTTAGAACATGCTGGTGTGTTTATAACGTACAGAAATGCTCTGAGCCAGCTGGATAGGTTGGCACATCCAGCCACCTCCATTTAGCACCGTGTAGAAACAGCAGCTCAGATCCCAAAACCAGAGCAGGCCATGCATTGTTCTGCTCCGTCTAAATTAATTGCCACTGTTTCCAGAGGGTAAATTAGCACATACACAGTCGCACACCACTGCAGCTCTACCAACACAAACCTAGCTTCAGTATTCCTGGGCAGTACTGTGGTGCCTGACTAGATGTGCTAGAAAACAAGGGAATTGCAGCTCTAATGAGGAGATCTAGGTCCTAGTTCCAGCTGCAACCTGTTGAGGCACCTCAGGCAGGGCCATCCGCTGCTCTGTGATGGCACAGTGATGGCTCTCCACCACTATGCAAGGGCTTTGGGAATGAGGAATATAAAACTTGCATGTAAGGATGAACATATCTGACTGAGAGCTGCTCCATAACATACCAAGGCAGCACTAGAGACCAAAAAAGTTTCTTTTCCAGCCTCACAGCCTGATTGCTAAATATGGCTATCTAGACAACAACATATTTAAAGCAAAAAAGCAGCCAGTAAACATTATGCAGCCTTCCCACCCAAGAAGTATTATTAAGATTGTGGTTAAAAGATATTCGCAGCAATTCCAAACTGGCATCATCACTCCAGGCAGCAGACCACTGCAAGTGACAGAGCAAGTTAGCTTCCTCTGCAACAGAGAATTTCTCAGTGATAAAGAAGCTCTGGGATCCATTTTTTTCCTCTATGCCCTAAAACACTTTCTACTTCAGGATGAGGGGTTTTCCAGCCCTGCTGCTCTTGCTGGCACTACCAGGTAAGGCTCAGAGACTCTCCATTTCTCCAAAGAACAGGAGGCTCTCTGTGCTGTTGAGTGTATTGCACGCTGTTCTCTGCTTGAGCACTTTTTATTCAGGCCATCCGTAGCCGGGTACAGAACGGGATTCCCAGAAGTCAATAAGGGGAGGAAATGTTCAGCCTGAAATTTGCTTATTTTAATTATACAAGCTTTTTTTGTCTATAGTAGTTCTGTATTTTGTCCAGAAACTGAACTTCATGGTGGGGCATTTGGCAATCTTTGCCCTTCTGAGCCCTTTCTCTCCCGCTATTGTAAGTTCTCAGTCTGAAATCACCTAGCACATGGGGAGGAAAATCGGTGTTTGTTGCTCTCTCCTGACACATCATGGACCACGTATTGTCACAGACAGGCTAGCTGCTGGTTGCTTTCTTATTGCAAATAAATACTTAGTCCACAGAGAGGAACAATAGGAATAAAAAATGGAAAAAGGGTAGTGGCACTAAGGCTGAGCATAGATGTTTATTTAGGCAAACCTGCAGCATTAAGTTACTCTTCTCGGAGGCCCAGTGGTATAAGGTAAGAAAACCTGCCATACTGAGCTGTGACCAGTTGTGGCATCATTCTCTTTCTTTGGAGGAACCATGCATGGGAGGAGAGGACACCTAAGGGTTTCTGCATGCGGAGGGAGCGTCCTCCAGAGCTAACTGCTCACGTGACATGCACAAGAATTTATGTGAGAAGACATTTTGGGGCAAGGAGCTGTCAGAAAAGCCTTGTCCAGTCTTAGCCTTGAGTTCCCCTCTAAAAGAAAAGATTAACTTTAACGGTGCACTGCATCATTCAGTTGACCTGGTAGACTTTGGATGTGGCTGGTTTTCTGTGATCACAACAGCACTTCGAAAAGAGAATTCTGGCACATATCAGCGTGGGGTGCAGGGTGATCTGAAGAATATTCTATTGCAAAGAATACAGATGGCGGTTTCACGTGAGGGTGAGGTATGAAGTCAACAGTGCACTGGGTGGGAGACAGCCTAAATAAATCAAGAATGATGTGTCATTTCCATTTTTGTTTCACAGCAAAAGACAGTGTATCTAGACATAGAGATCCCACTAGAGGTTATCAAGGACAGGGTAAAACTCTATTATATAGCTCAACACAGAACCACAATATGTACCTATATGTATCCAGAAAGAGAAGCACCCAGGAAATTACTTTTGCCACATGAAACAAAAAAGTTTCAAAGGAAAGAAAAAAAAAAAAGAAAATCATCAGTATTTTATGCATTACCATCAAAACCAATAAATATAATTTTGTAGGATTGTATTAATCAAAATCAAATGGGTTTGGGATAGAAATATTTCAAGTTAGTTGGTGAAAATGAAAAAACAATACTTGCTTTTGCAAAAATTTTCCATTCTGTTAGAAGTGTTTCACAGTCACAGAGATCTTTCACACAGAAAAGCTTTGATAACTCACGTAGAAGGCTCGTGAGATGGAGCAACACCATCTTAAACTTGAACACCTGTATGAGGGATAAGAAATATGCTGAGGTGGCTCCAGGTCCCAGCACCTGGGGAATCTGACAGCAACCACAGTGCTGGGGCCTGATACGGCCCATGATCAGGAAGGGCAGCAGTAATCCAGATTTCCCGTTTGCCACCCCAACTTCATCTCCAGTGATCACCCCCCTCAGACTGGTGGGCTGGTTATTGCCTTGTCTTCTGCAAGTTCTCTTTGCACTGATGTCAGCTCTGCCTCTTTGTGGGCGAGATGTACACCGCCACGAGGACTGTTTTTTCCTGTCTTCTCCCTCTAATGAATCACCACTCTATTTTCTTTAGAACTTGTAAGGCTATTTGAAAAAAAAAAGGGAATTCCCTGTCTGTCCATTGCTCCTATTATGTCATAGCCAATGTCAGGAAACTTCAGCATTTTATTTGGTGCAAAACAGTGTCCCAAATTAGATGCCAACCTATTATCAGAGGTAACTCTGATCAAAGTATCATTAAAGTAGGAAGGACTGAAATGATGAATGACTTCTCATGGAAAATGATTAGAGTGTGGCTGAAAAAGCTCCAACTTAATGACTCAGGAGAATATCGTCTTGAGAACCACTTCCAGAGGAGAAATAAACTACTGAATAGGATCATGCTGGAAGTTTTGGGAGAGTTAATCAAAGAATTAACGATCTTCTAAAAGTCAGCAATTTCTTACTACTTGACAAGAAAGATTACAGGTCAATGTTAAAGAGCTCTCTTCTGAGCCTGGATATTTCCTGAGACACACATAATTCCTGATTTATTTATTTTTTTAACAGATTTTTGATACATACTAATGGTATACACAAATTGCAGCCAACTGGCGGGGGAGTCTGGCTTGGCTTTATTGACTAATGAAATTTTACATTTACATCAGCAGATGAAACAGACTCCAAGCAATCTGAATCTTTGCCTGAATTTCTACCAAAGTGCAGCTCTTTGTCACTGCTCGTTAGTAAACTTCTGTATTTGTTTTAACACTTTACTTCCTTTTCTGCTTTTAGCCAGCACGGGAGGCAGAAAAACAGATGATGTTTAGCGGAAGCTGTTCTTTGATTTTTCTGACATGAATGAAAAACGTGTACGGGAATCACATGACAGCTTTTTTCTAAGATGCTTCCTTTCTAACAGCATTCAAGTGCCCAAATAAGCAATTCAATTTTCATACTGTTCTCTAAAATGGCATGAATTTTCATGGCCGACCTATACCTTCTAGAGAACTTGTCTCCTGAAGGAGCTGTCCTTTCCCTTTGATCTGTCACAGACCCAAACTTGTAAGGAAATCAGAACCCAAATCTCATTGTGCCTCTGCATATGATATAATCATTGCATAAGCAGGTTTTCCAAGGCATCATGCAATCACATATCAAATAGTTTGCAAGCATGAAAAAAACACCAGAGGATCACCACCCGAAGGGAAGGAAACTGGAATCACAATATGTCTGTTCTTGTCGTACTAGCTACTTACTCCTAGCTTTCTGGCTGGGCCTGAACTTGGTGTTTTCACTTAGACACGCTGATAACAGGTACTATCCAATCACCCAGACAAAACTCCCGGTACCTGAGGAACCGGTTGATTGCATTCCTGTGATTCAGCTCCATTAACTAACCTTCTTTTACTGGTAAATAGCACAGGATGAATTTTCTTGTTCAACTTCACAATTTCATAGCTAACAAGCAAGCAGCAACTCTAGACCATTCTTGAATGCAAAGCAGGATTTTTTAGCATGAGAAAAAGTCACCAGGGATGGATTGATGTGGGAAAATCACCTGCTTTTGGTTTTTTGTTTTTTTTTTCTTTTTTTTTTTTTGAGGGAAAAGTTGGAATCAGGATGCAGATTTAGACACCATTTCACTCCCCACTAAGAAGGAAGATGTTGTCAACTCCACAGATGACAGCAGTAACGATCAGAGGTAAAAAACAAAGACTCCCAGACTCTGAGCATAGCATTCCGGATGCATTGCAGGATTTGAGGAGAAGTGTGACAAACAACTGAAGCACATGCAGGCACACACAAACACACACAAAAAGGCTTCCCCTTTCTCCGCTACAGAGTTTGGTCCAACCTCTGCAAGTGCCATGAAAAGCTGTAGCTGGCTCTTTTCCATTTCAGGAGCACTAGGTGAGGCCTCAACTGAAGATCCTCAGTTTGACTGCATTCTTACTTTCTACCTGGTTAAAAAAGGGACAACTATATGGGCCATGCAATGCTACAATGACTCTGCCTTTTGTACAAGCATGCCAGGCTAAGACCAATCCCAGCTAAACAACATAGCATGTCAGACCAGAGTTATCACCAGGCCTGATCAAAGGTGACCCTATTAATGATCCTGATCAAAGACAGACCAGGAGAAGAGCTACTGCATCCTGATGAGGGACGCCTTTGAACTCTGGTAGCACTGCAAATGACTGCAGGAAGAGAATTCAAGCTCCTGAGTATTCCCCAGGCTTGCCAAGTGCCAAAGAAAATACAGCTGGGAGGGATCCTCTGTGGCTGTAGATCAGTACTGACCTCATGGAACCACACTTGTTTAGAGACAGCAGGGGTAATATTTGCATGCTGAATTTTTATCCTGGAACCATAATCCATTTTCAAACACACAAAATCCCCTCCCAAATTAACCTGGTCACCTCTGGTGCTGTAAATAGTAATGGGGATATCATGCTTTTCCCTGCAGGACTCTCTATGCTCTCATGGTGCTGAGTTCCTTCCTGCCAATAACTGCTTTGATTGCTACTGTTATACTCCTTGTCACGACTTACATCAGAAAGAAAACGGCAGGTAAAGCTCCTTAATCCTCTTGTCTAGTTTTCCTGCCCCTACAGCTTGCTATCCCACCACCCTGAATGTAAGGAAGGTCTGTCCATAGCAGTCGTTGTCCAGGGAGGCAATGAGACTGAGCCGAGAGTGAAACACAAGATGCGAGTTAAATCACGGGGAAGGGATAGTGGGAGTAGTAATTTTTAAATTGAAAAGGTAAAGGTGTAGTTTTACACTCAAAGGAGTTTCTGTCCTTTACGGCAGGAAGGGGGATGGACTTTGGCAGACATTCTTCCTTCAGACAAGCAGCGCTGCAGGTAAGGCACCGTCAGCAATGCCACATTCCTGGCGCTTTGTTTGATCTCTGTCATGCAGAGACACTGGCTCTGTGTTCACCATCACGGGGAGCACAAAGCAGGCAGCACCATGCAGCCTACAGTGGATGCACAGCACCCGCTCGAGCTAGCAGACTAAAGCTAGCTGTCTGTGTGTGTTGATTGCCTGATATGTTGCTGCAAAGCAGACACAACCTAAGTCAGTTATCTGAGTAAGTCACAGCCCTTCTGCATATTTTTGTTTATAGTACTCAGAAGAATAAATGTAATAACAAACATATAGTTTTGACAATTAACTGGCTTTGAATCTTCAAAAACATCTCCAAAGTTTCTCATTAAACTTCACTAGTTGCAATCGCCCTAAATATTTAGCATGTTAACTGTTGTTACATCTTTCTACCCAGCCCCTTAAATCTTAGGAAGTAGAGTTTTGTGCAGGAGAAGTTTTCTAAACTCCTCTGAGAACACATTCCCTCTTCCCATGCAGCCCCTCCCCTCTTCCCTAGTTTCATGGTACAAGGAGAAAATATTTGTGGTGGTAGATGAACTAAGACTAATATTCAGAAGCAAAAAATGCTGAATTTCTTTTTAACTTCTCATTCTTCATGGTTGTCAGAAGGACAGAAGAAACAAAGCAAGCAGAATGCCAGAAGGGGAACTGAATGACAGTACAATATATGCTGTCATAAGGCACCAATCTCAGCCAAAGCCTGAAGATGTTATATATGTCAACACACAGCCTCCACCACAAGTTTTCTTTCACGTTCAAGAACCACCAGGCATTTCAGTTTCCTCAGAGCCTGTGGAATATGCTACTGTCATCTTCAGAGCCACAACTCCACACTCTGGAACTGAAAAAACAGGTTCACCGAATCCAAGCAGCACAAAGCCTTGGGCTTATTCACAGAAGTTTGCTGAACTGCATTTAGAAACAGTCCATTTGTAACCAGGCGCTGAAGCTGGGTACAGATGGGACGCGAGGCAGAAAGCGAGTGAAAGCATGAGGCACAGGGATGCACACACCTTCCCTGAGAAAATAACTTTTCGCATAGCACAGCATCACAGTTCAGCTGTTGGTAAGCAAACCTCGTGGAAAGCTGTGGTATATTTGTTTTTTTCCAAATTGCTCTATTTTTAAACAACAGGCAACTATAAGCCCAAATACAGGAAACTGGTTCTCTCTGGTAGCGGCTGATACAGTGCCGCAGTCACCAAAGGGCTGTGAGATACGGGAACACGACACTTCCTTGTAGACATTCTTCAACAGCCCACTTCAATACTCATATATAAAAAGTTAATTATTGCTCACTCTGCTAAGGTCCAAGTCAGCAAAGGGGTAAAGAATCTGCTTTATTTTAAACACCTAAGTTGTTTCATGGACTTCAGAGAGACAAGTAATGCACTTGGCATGTTTTAGTAAACAAGGGTCTGGTTGAAAAACATTTGTCTACGCTATGGTATAAACTGCCTTCAGCTTGAACACACGGGTGTAGAATTCACACCCAAAGTTAGTTAGTTAGTTATTTTTACAAAGAAATAACTTTGCATTTCCTTGCCTTTGGTGCTTCTTGTTTATTAATGCCACACCCATGCTACAGTACAAATCTAGCTTGACTTTATTATAAACTACATACATTTTGATCAAAATACCAAATCCTGTTATCATGGCGATATGTGCAAACATTCCTTAGGGACTACGGATAAATCCCAAAATTCACCTGATTGAGATTTTCATCTTAATTTTGCGAGTTGGAGCCTGAGGATGCTAAGTACGACACAAAAATGGTTTCAGTTTTTTGGTATTAAGATTGCAAGACTCCAGCCTAGGTACTGGGTGGCATGGGAGGAAATGAATGTAAAAAGGCAGAGAATATGTCCATGGATCAGATAAACTGCACTGTGCCTGTGAGTGCTTGTACAGTTCTGAAGAGTGGCGGGGAAAAAGAGAGAGAGGGAGAGAGAAAGAGAGAGAGAGGAGAGAAGTAGGAAATTCTGTTGACTGGTCTGATGTGGCTACACAATAGCAGGATTTTTGCCATCATATCTGAGATTATTTTGTCCCTCTACTGCAAATTCTCTGAAAATAAAGCTAGAAAAACCCCATAATAATAGCTAAAGAAATAAATTTGTAGCTTCCTAAACAGGCTTGCATGATTTCATTCTTCACTTCCTGTCCCAGCTTCGCATTTTGTGTTCTTGCATGCCGTTATTCTGTTATTTCCCTTTTTAATTTTTCTTTCCTTTTTTTTTTTGATGGTCACTGCATTGACCAACTCTGGAAATAATTAATGACTGACACCCTTGTGCTTTGGGTAATTTTTGAGATGTCAGAAGCGTTGGTGTGGGGACCACACCATTAAGGTCTGAAATGATACACCATAAGACAGACAAATGGTTAACATAATAAGCTTCAATATATAAATTCAACATCTTATTTAGCCTGTTTGATTCTTTGAAAGCACCTAAAACTTTGTATGCCTAAATTCCTCATCTGGGTGCAATGTCATACACAGTGGAAGTTCTGGGGGCCTCAGATCCTGAAGTAATAGATGTTAAATAACTAACTTAATAGAGAGGCTTACTGGTATGCACTTCTTTCTGCCTACAAAGCTGAAGAAGATCTACTATCGTATGATGAATTTGAGGGTGTTTCTAGGGACAGTTTATCTGTATGGACAGCATCAGTCCTCTGTCACAAAATGTAAAAATATAATTGCCTGGTTTAAAATAAAGACACAAGAAATATTCTCAAATCTTTCTAAATTTGTAACATCTTACGGGTATTTTCCTTCTGTGCAAATGATGGAGATTTGCTAGTAACCTGAACTGCCTACAACGAAGGACGAATTATCCTAAGACCCAGTTTAGACTGGCATGTTCGGCTGTTCAGTTTGCAAAGTATCAGCAGCTCATCCATCCTCCTCCTGTTACGCCCCGCTGTGAACCACCTTCAGGAACGGTCTAACTCGCGTACGAGCAGCCTCTGCACATCTGGGACATTACAAACCTGGCCATGTCAGATAAGCCTGACAGAGGCAGCTAGTTAGTCCCCTAGTCCTAGATTGGCTGCTGAATAGTTGTGTAGATGTGTATCTGGCCAGCACATCTCTCCCAGCTTATCTTTCATTTGATGGTAGCACAAAATAAAGTCGTGGCATTCTAGGAACCGGGCATATCAGATGGGCAGGACACGGCTGACAGGATGTAAGAGGGCAGGAGCTTTTTCTACGACTGAGGCTATTAGTCAGTACATTCCACTCCAGTGCCTCCAGACCTCTCCTCTGTCCTTCTGCAGGACATCTAGTTAAAACTCACTCCAACTCTAAACATTCTCTGCAGCCTATGCTAAAGGAGTTATTTGTTTTTTCTTTGTCTCATTTGAGAAGCCATAAACACTACGAGGACCGTTTTCATCTCTAATAGGAGTAAACGAATATCCATAGGACAAATGGCTGGGCACCTTCATCTGTTCCATGCTCTTCACTGCAAACAGCTCTTGCCCTAAGCGCACTATAAGAACATAACAATCATATAATAAAGTATAATCTAGAGATTCTGCTAAAGTCATCATCGTATTATGTCATCTAAGTGCCTTCCAGTAGCAGTTTTGCAAATTGGGTACAATTTGCCATATGCCTAAGAAGCCAGGGAGATTTAAGCAAAAGGCAGAGATGAAAGAGAATGTTTTATTAGCCACTGTGTAAACCAACCAGTTCTGCTCCATGTCTTGAAAGACCCACAGAAAGCAAAACGGGAAAGCAAACTGAGTGTTGCATATACTACAAACTACAGAGACTGAGGAGTGTCCTGCTAGACAAAATGAAGTTGACTCATTCATACTTTTCTTCTTCCTCTGGGAGTCACTGAAACACGAGAACGTTTCTGGAACAACTGATTGTGTCAAACTCCTGCAAGTACAAAGGATCAGCAAAGTGTTGCTGCTTGAAGAACCTAAAGAAAGAGAAAACCCAGCTTACCAACCCGTTCACTTCACATCAGTAGTACAAAATTCTGTTCATTCTATTCACTCCAGAACACCTGTTCAATTGTTCTCAGCTTCCTGTCTTACTTCTCTCCCATGCCCAACCAGTGTAAAATACTGATTACCAGAAAGGAAAGCAAAGCAACAAAAGACAAGATCCTGGGAACAGTAACTAGCCCAAGATTAGCAGATAGAGGAACTTCTCTCCAAAGTGAGGGACTGCTTTAAATTAGTCCGTTCCTGTTCTTGTCAGGGAACTGAAAAGGATTTCAAATCAAGAATAAAGCAAAAAGCTGTAAAAAAATCCATATCTGAGTGGCTTTGTAATCAGATAACCTATTATGTGCTGAGGGCATTCCCTCCAGGCCTACAAGGCCTGCTTACTCCCTTGGGCCACCGCCCTTCATGCTCTTCTGCATTCACGAATCTTCAGCTGTGAGGTCCTTGAGGATTTATTCTGCTCTGTTTGCCAACAATCACACTTCCAGCACTTCTGCATTTCATCGTGATTGCAGAGCTGCCAGCAATGCAGGGACAGAAAACCAGGCCAGCTTTCTTCAGGACCCACACTGACCACCAGCCTGCGGGGGCTTTGCAGGACGTACAACAGTGTCTGAGTTAGGAGGCCAGATCCTGTGCATTTGGCAGAGGGGAAAAAGGCATCTTCAGAAGATATTTCCCAACAGCAGGACCTAACTGGATGCTCTGAGCTGCCTGCTGGCAGAACTTCTATCTACCTCACCTATGGGGACACCATCCCCCTAATTTTGACACTTGACATAAGAGGTAAGGTTATGCCCCACTATAACTGGCATTAGAAGCACACACCAATTTTCCATTGGCGCTTTGGGACCACTTCAGTGTAGCTAAATACAAATGCATCCAGTATTTCCAAGCTGCTTTACAGTTAGTGCAAGATGTCACTCACAGTTGGTTCACTCGGAAAGCACTATTGAGGCATCCACTGCAGCAGAAAGAAACACAATACTGCTTGGGGTAAAACTCGCCTTTTTTTGTTCTGTTTTTGCCAGCTAGTGATATTCAAGTGTGCTTTCAACCTCTGCTAGCAGAGACATGCTTTTGCAGCAGTGAGGGCAAAATCGGTCCCTGAACTGCAGTAGCGCCTACTGTTCTTTCAAGAACACAGCATATAGCTACAAACACCTGCGAAGTTCGGTGTAGCCCTTCTAAGAGTGCCCATCTCAAGAACACAGGGGAAAAAAAAAATATAGGCAGAACATAATGTTTTGCTTTTTTATATGGCTGCTTTTAGCCCAAAGAGCTTCGCAAACTGTAAACGTGCACAGGAACTGTTTCAACAACACTGTAACTTACAACCACCTGGTATCACACAAAGATTGCCTAACAGTGTGGGACCTCAGCCTCGACAGAAGTATTTATGTTATTGTAGTGAATGTTTAAGTTACTATACTGCTGAGAGATCCTGAGCAGCCCGCATGGAAGAAACAGCATGCCTGAGAGGGATTAGCAGGCAGACATGGAAACTGACTCTCTCTTAAACCTTTCAAAGCCTGCCCAATCCTCTTAAGAGGAAAACTTCCTTTGGTGCCAAAAGACAAGAAATAAGCCTTTTCTAAGGGTGCCCATTCAGTCATATTTGGCCAAAAAAAAAGATAATGACGTGACACTTGGGAATTTGGGGACAAGAAGAAAACACCTTCCTGGAAGGTAACCAAGAATATAAAGGAATGAATGTCTTAGAAAGAAGAGCATTTGGGTAACACGAAGTCGGATTGTCATGTCTTACATTTATGCAACACTGTACAGATTCCATTGCTGCACCCATAGGACACTCCCTGTGCTCCAGGGCAGCTTCTATATAATCATTGGATTCTTCTGCATGGCCTTTCAGGGATAATTATTCAATGCCATGAGTTCTGCAGCAAGCATGTCACCAAGGCAGGCTGAGCATTACGCCAGCAGATATCCAGGAGCTGGATAGC